TGTCTGAGATTCATGGGAAAGGTCATATATGTTATGTGGATACATACGTACTGTATATGTATGCATAAATATACCTCCATACCGCAGGTTTCACGTCTTCCAATTCAACCAACTATAGATCAAAAAGATTTTAAAAAATAGCAACACAACAATAGCAAATAAAACATAGTATGGCAACTATTTACATAAAATTTACATTGTATTAAGTCTTAAAAGTAATCTAGAGATTCAAAGTTTGTAGGGGGATTTGCATAGGTTAGATGCAAATACTATGCCATTTTATTTAAGGGGTTCTATATCCACAGATTTTGGTATCTCTGAAGTTCCTGGAACCAATCCCCCATGGATACTGAGGGATAAATGTATGTAATTACCTTTAAGGATAGAGGGAGGGAGGGAGAAAAAACACCCAATATATACTCATATCAGGCCACACAGAACTCATGAAAATGCCTGGTCAAGATTTTTGTTTTTAAGGCTATAGACTGTCCTGAAACTATGATGTTCTCCTGAATAAAAAAAAGCCAAGATTCTTGTGCTGGTGTCTTTTTGTGCAGTTGTTAGTTTTCTAGTGCAGTTTTCTAGTGCAGTTTCAATTCTGTGCAGTTGTTAGTTTTATATGTACTGTGGGAAGAGAATAAAGTACCTTCATTTCCTCTGCTAGAATCACGTTTATTTTTAAATCCTGCTTACTTGAACTTCATGAAATGTACATATTAATAGATTATGGAATAACTTATAAGTTTGTGTCCTCAAAAGAAAATTGTTGGGAGTGTTACTACAGGTTCACAAATACCTCTTTCTTATTTTTAAAAAATATTTTAATATGTTGGACTTTTGTTTGATAGCTGGGTAAAGAAGGCCAGCTTGTATGCTGAAACCATTGATGAGCTAAGATTTATTTCTATCAAATGAGGGCTAGTGGTGTGGATAATATCTTTATATTGTTTGGCATTATCTTTGGTAGGGAAAAGTAGTCATATAAGTTCCTTTGACTATTCTTTCTCTTAGTTTTTATAATTTACCTCTTGTGGTACTCAAAAGAACCAAATCACCCTTTGGTGAAGAAAAAGAGCAAGTTTAATATGATAGATAAACAGTGTGGTCCTATTTACTTCCTAAATGGCTGATCATTTTATTTTGTACCAAGACTAATGTGACTTGCTTTCATATTTATATACTTTGAAAATATTTTTCTCTTAGATGCAAAATTATTTTTTATGATATTTTAATATGTTGGATTTTTATTGAAAATAATCAAAATTATGAAAGTGACTCCTAGGATATATGAAAAGTAATGCCAAACATAAGAAATTAAACTTAATGTAATGCTTCATTTTAATTCTTCATTACAATGTAAATAATTATACAAATATATGAATATTTTATTTAGATTTATAAACATGGCATAGATTCTAATTCTAATATATGTGATATATGTAATAATCTCTATTGTTAAAGGAGATTAAGAAAATGAGAGCATTTGAAAAGAGTACCCAAGAAGGAATGCGAATTCTCATCAAGGGTTAAGAAAATAAATGATTTAAAATAGCACAGTGTAAATAATGCATTGAAAGCTGGAAACTATCTACAAAAATAAGGTATTGGTATTGGTTCTATTCTAGATTTTATTTTCCTTTTCTTTTGAGACAGGATCTGGCTCTATGGTCTGGGCTAGAGTGCCATTGCATCCACCTAGCTAACAGCAACCTCAAATTTCTGGGTTCATTCAAGCCATCCTCCTGCTTTAGCCTTCTGAGCAGCTGGGACTAGAGGCACCTGCCACAACAACCTGGTTAATTTTTCTGGTTTAAGTAGAAACGAGGCCTCACTCTTGCTCAGGCTGGTCTTAAACTCCTAAGCTCAAGTGATCTTCATTTCTTGGGATGATTACAGGTGTGAGCCACTGTCCCTGGCCTATTTCTAGATGTCTTAAGAACATCAAAACAGAAAGAAATGTGAAACTTTATGAATTATGAGAACATAACTCTACGTGAACATTTAAAACTTTTGCACAATAAAATCTAATGTGTTCTTAAGTATCATTTCTTTTGAATATCTAAGTTTTTTATTCTTTAACTTATGAGTGGTGCTAGATTTTGTAATTTCCGTTACCTATTTTTTCTCCTTTAATATTTCAAATGACCTACCAGTCATCATCTACCTTTAGGATGTAAGTGATTTATTTCTGACCCTAATAAAGTTTTGCAATCTGAATAAAGAGCGTCTTTTAAAGACTTGAGTTTTGGGGTTTTAAAGACTTGAGTTTTGGGGTTTTATTTGCCTGGATGTTTAATACAGTGCCTAATGCTCAGTATTAATGAATGAAAATATTTTAAATTATTATAATATTAACATAAAAGTGATAATCATTAAACACAAAAATAATATCAGCCAGACAGAATTAGGCATTTGTTTTCTAAAGGGAACCTATGATAGCCACATTTTTTTTTTATCCAAGTAAAGAAAATAAATGAGAACTTTTAAAAATGTTATGCCATGGCTCAGTGCCTGTAGCTCAGGTGGCTAAGGTGCCAGCCACATATACCAGAGCTGGTGGGTTTGAGTTCAGCCCAAGCCTGCCAAACAGTGACAACTACAACCAAAAAATAGCTGGGCGTTGTGGCAGGTGCCTGTAGTTCCAGCTACTTGGGAGGCTGAGGCAAAAGAATCGCTTGAGCCTAGGAGTTGGAGGTTGCTGTGAGTTGTGACGCCACAGCTCTCTACCCAGGGCGATAGCTTGAAGCTCTGTCTCAAAAAAAAAAAAAAAGTTATGTCATTAGTACATTTACTAAATCAGCCATTCAAGTCATCTAGAAATATAGGAGATAGAAGAACAGATTAAATGACTGCATGAAGAAAGTATCGAACAAATCCAGACTACAGGACATCCTAAACGACAACTGGTCTGGGCACTTAAAAAAAAATTCAATGTCATAAAAATGAGGACTGTTACAAATAGATGTTAACGCCCAAATACAATCATGAAACTTCAATATAAAAATTTCTAAGACCTCCCTTGTAACAAGTGGTTAAGAAAATAAGTGCATTTGTAAAAGGAATTCAACAGTGAATGTGAGTTCTTAACAAAGTTGAAGAAAACTGGAGAAGGATAATGGAAGGCTAACTAGTGAGATTTAATAATTAATGTGTTTTAGATAATATTGTTAAATTATTGTTGATTTTCTTGAAGTGTGATAGCATTGTTATGAAGGATAAATGTCCTTAGACATCTGCTGAATATTTGGAGGTGAAGTATTGTGATGTCTGCAAGTTTCTTTGAAATAGGTTGGCAAAAAAGGGGTATGTATGTAGAATAAGAACAAGTATGGAAAAATAAAGTATTAGCTTGGATGGAAAGAAGGGTTTTGTTTATTGTATTTCCATGTATTTGAAAAATTTCTTAATGCAAATATTTTTAAGTTATTAGACTCTTTTTGATGAGTCTATATGCAATTGGTAAACAAATATTGATACCTTATTATTAACTAAAGTCAGTCCATAGTTTGGACTAGGGTTCACTCTTTATACTCTTCTATGGATTTTTATAAATTTGTAACATCATCTATCCACCATTGCTGTATAGTAAAGTTTCATTGCCCTAAAACTCCACTGTTTTGTTTTCCTAATTCCTCCTCCTCCCCTCCACCTGGCAACTGCTGATTTTTTTTAATGCCTTTATAGTTTTGGTTTTACCAGACTGTCATATAGTTGGAATAATTCGGTTTGTATCCTTTTCCAAATTAGCTTCCTTCACTAAGCAGTATGCATCTAAGTTTGCTCCATTCTTTTTGTGGCTTGATAACTCATTTATTTTATCAGTATTTTAAACATAGAGATGTTTAAAAAACCTAAAAACAAACTGCAACATAAATAAATTGTTAGGAACCTGATTTAACAAACCATGTCTTTAAGACATATTTTAAGATAATTAGCCAGGCCAGGTGATGAGGGCCTGTAGTCTGACCTGCTTCAGAGCCCTAGGTGGGAGTAATGCTTGAGCCCAGAAGTTTAGCAGTGAGCTGTGATCAGGCCACTGCACTCCAGCCTAAGCAACAGAGTGAAACCTCCTCTCTTTTAAAAAAATAATATTTAGGCAAATTTCAATATTTACTGAGTATTTGATATTTTGATATTATTAACTTTTCTAGATGTGATAATGGACTTGAGGTCATATTCTTTAAATGTTCTCATCTGTTACATATTTTAAAAGTATTGACATGTTCACAAGAAGAAATTACCCAACTTCTCTTGGATATTTTCATGTGGCTCATATACATCAAATTTCATGAAAATTTGAAGTGGGAGATGTACAAGAAAGGAATAGTAAGGAGCCAATTTCAGTGTCCACAAGAATGCTCTCTTGATTTCCATGCTTTACCTGAGTTGCCATACTTTTCAGTTAGACTTGAATAGGAGGATGGTAAACTAACCACTACGGAGATGTGCTCATGCCCAGGCTCTGAGTAAAAACTGGAAATTTTCTAGTCAAAACCTTTTCTCTACTGCATTCCAGAACTGAGGTAAGTCACATTTTCTGAAGTTGACTTTTTCCAGTTTAAAAAGAGCAGCTCGGAACTGTGGAAATTAGAATGACTACTCTATGTTTGCTGCGCCATGTTAGATACAGTGAAAAGCCTTTCAAAATGTAGATCAGACGTCAGTAGATTGGGAGACACTATTTAAAAACACTCAATTTAGATTGTCATCAATCTGAAAGAAAATACTGGGATTTTTGTTTTGGAGAAAATTAACACTCCAGAAGGACGCGGGGTGGCGCTGCAGTCTTAGAAGTAGAATAAAGCCACAGAGCTGACACTCCTTCACCCTGAGACTCAGCGAAAGAAGCAAGTAGGAAGAAGAGGGTTTGTAAAGCGGTCGCTCGGGGAAACTGAATCCGAGGCCCTCGTATTATCCACTTATTCTAGTATCTGCGAGATACTGAGAGACTGAGTCAGCGACAACGTGGTTGGAGCGGGTTTGCTCAGAGACCAGAGGCGATGGAGGCCAGAGAGAGAAAGGAACGACGCGTTCTGAAGCAAAGGCAAGTCTTGATATTCTTTGTTTTGCTGAGCACAGCTCAGGCTGATTCTCAGCCTAGGCACTATTCAGTAGCCGAGGAAACCGACAGTGGTTCCTTTGTGGCCAATTTGTTAAAAGATCTGGGGCTGGAGGTAGATGAGCTATCTGAGAGGGCCCCCCGGGTCGTTTCCAAAGGGAAAAAATTGCAATTGCAGCTCGACAGGCAGACTGGAGATTTGTTGGTAAATGAGAAACTGGATCGGGAGGAGTTGTGCGGCCCCGCCGAGCCCTGTGTACTACCTTTCCAGGTGCTGTTGGAAAATCCTTTGCAGTTTTTTCAGGCAGAGCTGTGGATTAGGGACATTAATGACCATTCCCCAGTTTTCCTAGACAAAGAAATAATTTTGAAAATTTCAGAAAGTATCACTCCTGGAACTACTTTCCTGATAGAACGTGCCCAGGACTTAGATGTAGGAAGCAATGGTTTACAGAGTTACAAAATCAGCTCCAATTTATACTTTCATCTTAAATTGCAAGACAGTCCTGATGGCATAATGTTACCACAGCTGGTGCTGGACAAAGCATTGGATCGAGAGGAACAGTCTGAGATCAGGTTAACCCTCACAGCGCTGGATGGGGGGACTCCACCCAGGTCTGGCACTGCCGTGATCCACATTGAAGTCTTGGACATCAATGACAATGCCCCCGAGTTTGCAATGCTACTCTATGAGGTGCAGGTCCCAGAAAACACCCCTGTTGGATCTCACATTACTACCGTCTCTGCTAGGGATTTAGACATTGGAGCCTATGGACAAATATCTTACGTATTTTCCCAAGCTTCTGAAGACATTCGCAAAACGTTTCAAATCAATTCAAAGTCAGGAGAACTATTTTTAATGCAGAAACTAGATTTCGAATTTGTTCAGACTTACACAATAAACATTCAAGCGACAGATGGTGGGGGCCTTTCTGGAAGTTGTGTGGTATTTATCAAAGTGATGGATTTGAATGACAACCCTCCAGAACTGACCATAACCACACTTATCAGTCAGATTCCAGAAAACTTGCAGGAGACTATAATTGCTGTATTCAGTGTTTCAGATCCTGACTCAGGAGACAACGGAAAGATGGTTTGCTCTATCCAAGATGATCTTCCTTTTTTCCTGAAGCCCTCCGTTGAGAATTTTTACACTCTCGTTACAAACACAGCCCTAGACCGGGAGACCACCTCTGAGTATAATGTCACCATCACAGTCACAGACTTGGGGTCACCCAGGCTGAAAACAGAGCACAGCATAACTGTGCTAGTATCTGACCTAAACGACAACTCTCCCGCCTTCACCCAAACCTCCTACACCGTGTTCGTCCGCGAAAACAACAGCCCCGCCCTGCACATAGGCACCATCAGTGCCACAGACAGGGACTCAGGCACCAACGCCCAGGTCGCCTACTCCCTGCTGCCAGCTCAGGACCCGCACCTGCCCCTCGACTCCCTGGTCTCCATCAACGCCGACAACGGACACCTGTTCGCCCTGAGGGCGCTGGACTACGAGGCCCTGCAGGCCTTCGAGTTCCGCGTGGGCGCCACAGACCGAGGCTCCCCCGCGCTGAGCAGCGAGGCGCTGGTGCGCGTGGTGGTGGTGGACGCCAACGACAACTCGCCCTTCGTGC